TTTTGGTACAAATCTCTTCTAGACGCCTTAAAGCCTCTTTTGATTTATGGCATAGTCGATTGGGTCATATTTCCAATGAAATTATTTATGTTTTAAATAAATTGGGTTGTTCCTGACTTCGGTTTTACCAACCCCACGCATATGCTCTTCTTGTCAATTAGCAAAAAGCAAACGATTGTCTTTTGATCTTAATTTAAAACGTTCTATGCATGTGTTGGATTTAATTCACTGTGATTTATGGGGACCTTCTCCTGTTGTGTCTAGTGATGGATTTCGATATTATGATATCGTCATTGATGATTATTCCAGGTTCACATGGTTCTATCCCGTGAAAGCAAAATCCGATTTTTACAATGTATTCAATGCTTTTGTTGCACTGGTTCAAACACAATTTTCTTCAAAAATTAAGACCTTTCAATCAGGTGGTGGGACAGAATTCACAAGCAACCAAGTGTGCAATCTCCTTTCTAATAACGACACACATCATCAACTTTCATGTCCATATACTCCTCAACATAATGGACGTGCAAAACGTAAGCATCGACATCTCACTGAAACTGGTTTAGCCATCATGTTTAATGCTCACGTTCCTGCTACTTTTTGGACACATGCATTTAGTTCTGCTGCTTATATTATCAATCGACTTCCCACAAAGCTATTTGACAACAAGTCCCCTTATGAGCTGTTATTTTCCTCATCACCCAATTATGGCAATTTTCGTGTTTTTGGATGTTGTGTTTTCCCATATCTCCGGGATTATTCTTCTCATAAACTTGCTCCAATGAGTGTTCCTTGTTTTTTTCTTGGCTACAACACGCAATACAAGGGATATAAGGGTTTTGATCCATCCACACAACGACTCTACATAACTCGTCATGCTCAATTTGATGAGAATTTTTTTCCGTTTCAAGGTCATCAACATAAAACTTCTCTGGTCACATTACTTTTGTCTACCTATTCTGATGACCATCCGGTGCCTATCCCACCATCTCATCCGCAAACTACCCCTTCGGTTCCAAAACCGACGTTCACTCCCTCATGTGAATTATGTACCGACCGATCCTCACATACAGCCCCTATTCCGAATGAACAGCCCCCATCTTCTCCTGTTCTTAATGATCCGCCATCACCATTGCCACCTACTCCACCTGTCATGCACTCCTAACCTTACGCTTTGGGCCATTCCATGGTAAATCGCTCAAAGGCTGGTATTTTTAAGCCTCGACACTTTGCAGATCTTTCACATGTGTCTACTTCGGCTTTACATCATGCTTCTTTTGCTACCAATGAGCCCAAACGCTTCAAATTGGCTGCTAAGGATCCAAAATGGTTCGCTGCTATGTGTGATGAGATGAAAGCATTAAAACTCAATGCAACATGGGATTTAGTACCACGACCATCACAATCAAATATTGTTCGGTCCAAATGGGTGTTTCATACCAAGTTTCTTGTTGATGGTACAATTGACAATTTCAAAGCCCGTCTTGTTACACAGGGTTTCACTCAAGTTCCCAGCATTGGCTACTCTGCTACTTTTAGCCCGGTTGTCAAAGCTTCTACAGTTCGAATTATCCTCTCTCTAGCCGTTCTCAACAAATGGCCACTTCATCAACTCGACGTTAAAAATGCCTTCCTAAACGGTGATTTATCTGACACTGTTATATGGAGCAACCCCCGGGTTTTTTGGACTCCCGCTTTCCTACTCATGTTTGTCGCCTCAAAAAGGCTCTTTATGGCCTCAAACAGGCACCTAGAGCATGGTTTCAACGATTGGGTTCTTTTCTCATTAACATCTGCTTTACTTGTAGTAGAGCTGACAGTTCCTTGTTTGTCTTTAAAAAGGGTGCCAATATTCTCTATCTTCTGGTCTACGTCGACGACATTATTCTTATAGGAAACAATGCCGGTCTCATTAAACTCTTTATTACTCGGCTCAATGAAGAATTTTACATTACAGACCTTGGAAAGATTAACTATTTTCTTGGCCTTGAGGTTTCTTATCATGACTCAGGTATTTTTCTCAGTCAATCTAAATATGTCCATGATATCCTCGCTCGGGCTCAACTCTTGGATGCCAAGCCAGCTTCTACATCTCTCTCCACTTCAGCATATTTTACAAGTCAAGGCACTCTATTTCATGATCCCACTCTTTATCGCTCTCTTGTTGGTGTTCTACAATACCTCACTATTACACGAATAGATTTGTCGTATGCTGTCAATCAAGTGAGTCAGTTTCTTCATGCTCCAATGCAGGAGCATTTTCAGGCAGTCAAACGGATCATGTGTTATGTTAAGGGCACATTGTCCTATGGTATTTCGTTCTCTCACGCCACATCCCCTACTATCCTTAACTATTCTGATGTTGATTGGGTGCGATGTATTGAAACTAGACGCTCCACCTATGGTTACTCCATCTTCCTTGGGGGGGAATCTAGTCTCCTGGAGCGCAAAGAAACAACCCACCGTGTCTCGTTCAAGTTGTGAATCTGAATACAGGGCTTTAGCTAACACTGGTGCTGAAATAATCTGGGTTACTCACTTACTTCGAGAGCTACATGTTCTGTCACCTGGACGTCCCACTTTACCATGTGACAATCGCAGTGCCCTCTTCTTAAGCCAAAATACAATTTCTCATAAACGCGCTAAACACATCGACATTGATTACCATTTTGTACGGGAGTTAGTTCTCTCTGGCAAGCTTCACATTAAATACATCTCCATGCATTTGCAGTTGGCTGACATTTTCACCAAGAATCTTCCACGCCCTCTCTTTGAAGACTTTCGTTCCAAGCTTCGTCTTGGTGCTCCCACACTTCGCTTGTTGGGGGTAATAGGAATGATTCAAACGAATCTTAGATAATTATAGGAGATTGTATATATCCTGTATTTTAGTAAAGTTTGTTATACTTGTATTATATATATATATATATACATATATATATATATATATATATATATATATATTGATCAATATACATCTCTCACATTAACGTGAGATTTCTAAAACCTAATAGGAGGAATGAACATTAATACCACGGTTCAAAAGGTTTTGAAATAGAGGGATCCTGTTTTTAAATAATCTCCAAACGAAACAACTAATCTTTAAAGGGATCCAATTCAGCCACTTGAAAGAATTCTCCCCAACACTATCATGTTTATCAATCAAGGCACGAAGCGCTTTAACAGAGAAATCACTAGCACCATCACCATTCCAACGCTAGCTGTCCGTTCCACCAACAACTGAAAGTTGTCAAGCAAAACAATTAAATCCAAAAATTGGGCAGCCTCCCTGCCTCTCCTAAGATTCCTGGACCAACTCCAAATCCACCTTAAACCAACATCATTCTCATTGTTGCGTTTATCTAAAACAAGACATCTTTGTTTGTCTCTAAAGCATACAAATTCGGAAATAAGTCTTTCAAAGGAATATCTCCACACCAAACATCTTTCCAGAAATACGTGACACTACCATCTCCAACAACCCTCTTAAAAAGCTCAGAAAGAGACAAACCCTTATCATGCAAGTCAACATCAATTTGAGATACTTAGCCACACACCTTTTATGGTACTCTTGGCAATAAGTTTACCATCAATGAGTTTTAATTTATGGATTGACTTAATGCATGAAGACCAAAAGGAATTACCTCCATTTTTTAATCTCCACCACCATTTGGCAAGAAGAGCCAAAGTAGCCGACTCGAGAGGACCCACACCAAGACCACCCTCTTTCTTAGGTTTAATGACTGAATCCCAAGAAACCCAATTTATTTTCCTCTTTTCACGATCACCGCCCCAAAGAAACCTCCTTATAATATCATCAAGCATAAGAATGATATTCCTTGGAGCTCTAAATATCGAAAAATAGTAGAGAGGCAATCTATTTAAGACCGAATTCACAAGAGTAAGACGACCACCAAAAAACAATGCTTTCGCCTTCCAATTCAATAACTTCTTCTTAAATTTCTCCCCTACTGGATTCCAATTTTTGGCAAGTTTCATATTCGCCCCCACCGGAAGGCCAAGATAAATAACCGGAAAAGAAGCGGGCTCACATTTTAGGATGCTGGCAAGTCTGTTAACCTCTAAATTATCCATACCAATGCCATGCACCTTACTTTTGTGAAGATTCACCTTCAAACCTGAAGCAATAAAAAAGCAACAAAGTAGTCTATTAAGATTCACAAAATTTATCTCCGACCAATCACCAATAAAAGTCACTTCATCCGCATACATAAGATGAGATATATAAGGTTCGCTATTTCCAAGAGAAAGACCATGAAAGTGATGAAGATCGCAACCCGCCTCCATAGAAATATGAAGACCTTCCATGGCAATAATAAACAAAAATGGAGCAAGAGGGTCACCTTGCCTCACACCTCTACAAATATCAAACTCCTTGGTGAGAGATCCATTAACTAAAATAGAAGCCTTACTAGAAGAAAGACAACCTCTAATCCATCTACGTCATTTCCACCCAAACTCCATTTGCTCCATGATAGAATCTAAGACATCCCAACTCAAAGAGCCATTTGCACCCAAACTCCATTTGCTCCATGATAGAATCTAAGACATCCCAACTCAAAGAGTCGAATGCTTTGTTAAAATCAACTTCAAAAATTACCACCTTTTTCTTAACTTTTTGGCTCACGAGACAATTTCATTGAGCAAAAGCGGGCCATTCAAGATACTTCCATCACTAACATAAACCGATTGCTCCAGGCTAATTATCTTGTCTAACACAAGCTTCAACCGATTAGCAAGAATTTTTGTAAGGATCTTATACAAGCAACCCACAAGATTAATTGGTCCGTAATCTTTCAAAAATAACGGATCACTAATTTTTGGCACTAAAGAGATAAAACAACCGTAGAAATGGATATTATATATTTTGTACATATATATTTTCTAACTAAGATGCATTTAAATAAAATGTAAGAAGAGTTTCAACCATTTTTTAGCCAACTTTTTTTTATCCATTTTAACCAATTTGAACCGCTATCAACAAAATACAATGGTTTAACTTAATCATATAAAGATGGTGAGTTATTAACAAAATACAATGGACATTTTTATAATCATACACATTACATGATAGATACATCCATACAAAGCTTATCTTATCATTCAGACGCGAACATTATACAAGAAAACCAATACAGAGTTTTGCAACACCTTAACACAAAAGCTATACCTTTTTTTTTATATATATATTTTGGCATTAAGAGCTGACTGAATGGTTTTGGTTTTGGTTGGTTGTTTATAAGCGTGGTGCAGGGCGGGCCCGGGGTGCATCCCATTCAGTGACAATGTGGTCCCGAGTAATCTCTCTGAGTGAAGTACAACCACTTAATGCCATTGTTAGCTCAAACTCCTCACGTAACATCTGAAGCACTTTTCTCACTCCCGCTTCTCCTTCAGCCGCCAATGAAAACACCACCGGCCGCCCAATCTGATAAAAAAATACATATATACAACACCACCATTGTTAGCTCCAAGGGTAAAATCGTCATTTGGTCTCGTTCAACGTTTTATCCATATTGGTGAAGAGTAAAATGGTCATTTAGTCCCCTTTAACATTTTATCCCGATAGACATCATTTACTCGAAAGGGTAAAATGGTTATTTAGCCTCGTTCAGACATCTTACTCTAATAAATAACGATCTTTTTACAACGTGTCACATTCTCATTCATTTTGCCACATGTAATTGTTTGATTATTTCAAATTAATTTTTATTCCACATGTTATTTTTATGGTTTTTCCATTTTATTAGATTCCACATAGTATTTAAATATATTAATATAATAATAAATAAATGCATATCAATTTCATTACCGGACTTTCCTTGTAATTTCAAAATTACTAAATGAAAGTCCCATTAGTTTTCTTTGTTTATTTATCTAAATTATTTGTTTAAATTTAAAAAAAAAACACTTTAATTTTAATAATTCAATATTTTCTTACTTTTCTTATAAATTCAAATTTCTCAAATGTCAGAATTTCATATTTAATTTTTCTTTTATATAAACACATGTAATACATGGATCTTACTGTTTTACACCTAGTATGTTATATATATGATTGCTTCTTTTTGACTCACCGTAGAAAGAAACAAATCACCCATTCAACACTTTATCCATATAGAAACAAAGGGTAAAATGGTCATTTAGTCTCATTCTGGTTTATCGTAAGCCATGAGAAAAAGGTTTTCCCCATTAACTCCTAGTTGACAAATTACCCTTTGTTTTCCCCATTACCAAGGATAAATTGGTCATTTAGTCTCATTTAGAGAGTAAATTACTTAATTGGTTTAATTACTTACGAATATTCCGGAAGCTCCAAGAGCAAGTGCCTTAAAAACATCAGTCCCACGGCGGACCCCACCATCGAGAAACACGGGAACACGGCCCTGTGCAGCTTTCACAACCTCTTCCAAAGCCATGATGGTGGCGGGGACATAATCCAGCTGGCGGGCCCCATGGTTGGAAACAATAATACCCGCTGCTCCAGCTTGAATAGCTAACCTTGCTGTATAATTAACAAGAAATAAAAAAATTTAAATAAACAAAAAAATTAAGGTAGTTTTTTTTAATTGTTCTTACTGTCTTCAGCAGTGATCACACCCTTGACTAGAATCGGCATTGTGGTGATTGTTTGAAGCCACTTCACATCCTGCAAGAAAAATATATATAAAAACAACAAAGGGTTTTGATTATTTTTAAGACGTGTGCAAATCCATGAAACAATACGAGTAAAATACATAAATATTAATTGCGCTTTCACCATTTTATTCATTTAGAATTTTTTTCTCATTACACAAGACAAAAAAATACGATAAGCACAACATATTTTCACCATTTTATTGATTTAGCGACTAAACTAATGTTTTTTTTTTTATTAATTTAGCCATAGAACTATTAGTCTATTACTATAATGATTACAAGAAAATTAATAGTTTGTTGGCTAAATTGATAAAATGATGAAAATACGTTATGCTTTTTTTTGTGTGTTTTGCCTTTTTTTTCAAAACTAGGTAAACCGAGAAAAAAAGCTTTTTTTCAACTGTTAAACAAAGTATAATGATTTAATTACTACAAAAAAATAAAGTTAAGTGGCTAAATTGATATAATGATGAAAGTATGTTGTGTTTTTTTCTTTTTTTTTGTATTTCGCCCTTTTCTCAACCAAATAAAAAGTGGCTAAATTATTTTATGTATTATTCACCCTTTGTGAAAATATTTTATTTGAAAAATATGAGGAAAAGACTAAAATAACCCTCACAAAAACATACCTTCCAGCTAAGAGTGCGATCAATCTGACCAGCAACATAAGAAGACAATCCAGAGTCATTAGCCTGCATTTCATAATTACATCAACAATCAAAACATGAATCCAAAAAATATATAAAAAATTTTAACCATTTTTTCATTTTTTTTTTCTAGTATCAACAAATTGAATTATTTAAAAAAAAAAAGAAATTAGTTTCAACTTACTTCATCCATCTTCCCAAGGTCCAAACCCTCAAAGTTCTTCAATGTCAAAAATGGGGGTAGTGTAAACCTGTCCAATTAACAAAAAAGAAAAAAGAAAATGTAAAAGTGATGAAAACATTTAATGGAAAGAGAAGGGCAAAATGGTCATTTTGGTAAACCTGTTTTTGATGTCGGCTTCTCGGCGTCCAAGCCTTGGTGTATCAACTGTAAGAGCAATAGCTTTAAAGCCAGCTTTTTCAGCTCTTCTCACAAGCTGAGCCACAACATTTCTGTCCTTATACACCTGATATTAATATTATGTTTGAAAATTGTTAATTTTTCACATTAAGAAGGAAAAGAAGAGAAGGGCAAAATGGTAATTTTGCTCACGTAAAGCTGGAAGAAACGGATTCCAGGTCCGGTTGAAGCAACCTCCTCAACACTTGAAGTTGCCCATGATGACAAAGTCTATTATGAAAATTGAAATAATTTTAAATCTTAAAAAACAATGAAATTTTTTTAAATGAAAAAAATAATGTGTAAAAATAAGGAAAATACACACCATGATTGTTCCAGCTGAAGAAGCAGCTCTTGCAGTTGCATACTCACCTTCATTGATGATAAATAAATAAGAAAAGGTATTAAATAAGGAATTATGAGGATTTCTATTTGGTTTATAAATATGAAAAAAGGTTTTGGAATGTGACCCTTTATTATTTCTTTGGAATTTGTAAATTATTGTTTGTTTTTTAAAAAAGCATATTTGAACTAGTTTATAATAACTAGTTATATAAATATTTGAAGTACCCTTTTAATCAATTCTTGTTCATGGAACTTTATGTAACTCTATTTTAGAATTAAGCATAATTACTCAATAACACAGAACAGTTTTCACAAAGTTATTTTTTTGCAGATATAGAGTTTTTATAAAATATTAAACTTACCATACACAAGAAATACTCAAAATCAACTTATCTAAATTTTCAACTTTACTTATTTTATAGGTAAATAAATCGAAATTACCATCTATAAAATTGTTAAACAGCATTTCTTTTTACAAATACAGAGTTAGGTTTAAGAAGGGTATTTCAAATAAAATATCAATATAAATTTTAGGGATTAGGAAGGATATTTCAGTCATTTACACAAACAAGGAAGAATTGAAATAGAATTCCATAATTTATGGATAGAAAGTTTAATTCCTTCACAAGTGGGATTCAGTGAATTCCAATGGAATTCAATTTCATATTCATCATAATTGAATAGAATTGAACTCCAATTCCAACCAAATCCATCGAATCCAACAAACCAACCAAATCTCTTTCTTCTTTATGAGAAAAATTTGTTGTTTTTTTTTTTTTTTACTTTAAAATTAAAACAAAACAAATAGATAATCTAATCCTTTCTTGAAAAATATATGTAATTACCATCAGGGTGAGCCATTTTCTGCATGGCTGTTGGAGCAAGCATTATAGGCATGGAAATCTTGAATCCTAAAATTGTAGTAGTCATGTCAATCTTGCTCACATCAATAAGAATCCGAGGCCTAAACCTGTAATTCATCTCCAAAACTAAATCTTCACAACATACAACCACAAGGGTATTTTCGTAATTTCAGTTACAAACATATATTTACTTACAGGATTCTTGAAAAAGCATTTCGGTTCTCTTCTAAAGTCCACTGATCCTCAGCACCAGAAGCATAGTAGTCATACACCATCTTTGGTAACTTCTCCTTTGCAATAGCTTGATACTCAGTGACATTTGTGACCTCCATTTTTCTTCTCTATTCAGGTGGTTTCCCCCACAAAAATCTTGAATTTTACAGGTGAAATTCAAGAATCAGATTATCATATTCAATAACTTAATATTGCAAAACATTCAATGAAGAACTAAGTGCATAAAAATGGAAAGAATAGAGCTTTATGATGAACCCATAAGTAAAAATAGGATAAAGAAAGTAAACCTTTTGGGGAGTTTAGTGTTTTTTGCTTCTACAGTGAGGAGCTAACTCCAAGTGAATAAACAAGCATAGATAAGCAACAAATTTGGTAACATTATTGGAAAAAGAAGAAAAGGACATGTTGTAGATAAAGTGATAGAAATTAGGAGAGGGTGTGTACCAAAAAAAATTTGAAAAATAAAACTAAGAAAATGGATGAAGACAAATGAAGGAGATGAGTAATATGAGGTGAGAAATGGAAACCAAATCCCATTGAGGGGGAAATGTGAGGGGGGAAATCGGTGATTTTCCTCCACTCAATTTACTTTGTGTTTCAGAATTTTTTCCTCATTATCATCTTCCGCAATATATAAAGTATTTTCATTATCATCATCATTATCATCGTCATGTCTATTCAAGTATGAATGTAGGGATAAATTTTACCTTCTGTTTTCTCTCTCTAAAAGTCGTCATCTTTCTTTCTTTCTTAGACTAACGAGTTCACAGATAAGGATTAGTGAAAGGGTCCTTCTATCTCATCTGTACAACGTCTAAAATTCGTGAATTGAAGAATGGATTTGTAATTTCAGTTCTTTTGTAGCAGAAACTGTTTGTTGTATTCTTTAGATGAACTTTATCTTCACCACCCACCACAATCTGCCACCATCGCGATGCAATACCACCAGCATCGCCAGGAAAAATAGGACAGAAATGAAAAGAGAACCAAAAGTTGTCATTGAAAAGCAACAAAGTAAAATGAAAGAACAAAGGATCAAGACGCCTAAAGAACAGCAGAAACACATTCGTCGGAAAATTAAACCCTAGTCTGAACTAAAAGCTATAAATCTTAGACAAAATAGTTTGTAATTTCCACTTTGTTCCACTCGCAGAAAGAACAAAGGATCAAGACGCCTAAAGAACAGCAGAAACACATTCGTCGTAAAATTAAACCCTAGTCTGAACTAAAAGCTATAAATCTTAGACAAAATAGTTTGTAATTTCCACTTTGTTCCACTCGCAGAAAAGGGCAGAACTAAATAAAATAAAATAAAACTTTTTTTTTTCATATTAAACTTGTTTTTGTATTTTTCATATCGTTTCTATTATTATATATATACTAGGTGTGAGACCCGTGTATTACACGAGTTTTTATTAAAAAATTAATATAAATTGTCAAGAATTACATGTTTTTTTGTAATAATTTTACATAAATACAAAATCCTATAATGAATAAAGTTACTATTTCAATATATCGACCCTAATAAAATGATACATATTTGTAAAATGATGACGACAATAATGATGTAAACATTAAACACAAATTAATTAAAATTTGCTACATATAAAAAAACAAAATGATGAATAAGTAAGTAAAGTTAATGTATAATAATAAAAACAACTATTAAAATATTGACACTTATTTTTATGAATTACAAATTTCCAAAGACTTCCTTAAATACAACATTAGATGTCGTGTTGGTAAGTTTACCATCTTTATCTAAAATTAATATCTTTAATCCAGCTTTACTTTTAACTCTCGACAATGCAACATACAACTGTCCATGAGTGAATACTGGTTGTCTCAAAAACAACCCCACCCTCGATAGTGACTGTCCTTGACTTTTATTTATTGTCATTGCAAAACATACAGCCAGTGGAAATTGTCGTCTTTGAAATATGAAAGGAATCCTTTTATCCGAAGGCGTCAAAGACATTCTTGGAATAAACGTACGGTTTCCGATATTACTTCCAGATATTATTTCAGCTTCTATAACACGTTTACCCAATGCAATAACCCGTAACCTCGTGCCATTGCACAATCCGCATTTCTGATCAATATTCCTTAGTAACATAACCGGAACACCGACTTTTAAAACCAACTTGTGAATTGGCATACCTGAAGGTCTAAGACCATTTAGAACATCAGGAGAGTATAAAGTTTCATCAACTTCATCATGAACAAAATCAGCATGAGAAAGAGTATCTGAACTTAAATACTCTTGTGGATCTCCTGGAAATAATTTTAACAAACGCTCGTTAATCTCTTCAACGACTTCATTCTTCGGTGCGAGGATTGCTCTTTCTTGAAAATAAATCGGATTGTTGGCATTTTCAACAATAGAAGGATAGACAAATCCAATTAAAGAACCAATAGGATCAACTGAATCAACAATGAGAAGATCTGTGGGAACATCAATAATTGCCTCGCCATCATTCAAACCACCAACTTTTCCTTCTCTATATCCAAAATCCATTTTGCAAAAGATTCAGTTTCTTGAATATCAGATGTGAGAACACTTAACCTCATGTTTTTTTGTTAATGTTAAGACTTTGCAACTTGACCAAATATAAGAGGAACTTAAAGAAGCGTTCACAATGTCTTGCCTGCTTCCATTAGGAACAACTGGTAGAATTTGTCTAAAATCGCCTCCAAAGACAATTGTTTTTCCTCCAAATGGCAATTTTGAGTTTCCACGAAAATCACAACTCAATATATCTTTCAAAGAACGATCCAAGGCTTCAAATGCATGCTTATGAATCATAGGTGCCTCATCCCATATAATCAAAGATGTTTTTTTTAACAATTCGGCTACATCACTATCCGGTGCAAAAGAACAAAAGGAATCCTCAGTTAGATTTAGAGGAATTATAAAGCGTGAGTGTGCTGTTCTACCTCCGGTTAGTAACAATGAAGCAATACCACTTGAAGCAACATTTAAAACGATATCACCTTTAGATCTTATAGATGCAGATAAAGTCTTCCAAAGAAAAGTTTTACCGGTACCTCCATAGCCATAAACAAAAAACACACCTCCTTTTTTCTGTTTAACAGCTGTCATGATTTCATCAAAAACTGATCGTTGTTCAATTGTTAATGAATCAAGTAGTTGATGAGATTCTTGTTGTAGACTGTTCATATCAAAATCTAACTCCTCAGTAATCAAACGGTTGTTTGAAGAAGATATCGAATCATGATCAGGGTAAGGCATCCCAACAAAATCTTTAAGGCTTGAATTGTTTTGGAGTAGAATTTTTTCAATCTCATATAGCGTCAAGTTTTTAAGTTGATCGTCATTAAGGGATAAACCTATACAATTGCAGAGTTAATTATTAAAAGATAAATACAGACAATTATCACGTAATAAAAATAATGTGTATAAAAAAACTTTTAAATATTTATAAGAAACATATAAATTTCAAATAATAGTATATTTAGCATTTAAAAATTATATAAGTAATGTACAAAATGTAATGAATGACAAAAATAATAATACCTATTTAATCTTATTCGTTGATTGTAGAGAATTCCATCGGATAAGTATTGACAAGTATTTTCCCAAACATAACACGGTTTAGACAAACTATTAGACTTTAACATAGTTGCAAATAGAAACCGTAAATAATAACCAGATCCTGAATGACTTGCTTCCTCAATGGCATCAATATATTCTCTATCATCTTCTAAAAGTCCAAGAGCATAACATGCATCCCTAAAAGTAGGACATACTTGTCCGTTAACTGTACGAATATCTGGAAATGATTTTGGACCTTTGACTTTATTTAAAAGAATTCTCAAAAAATATGCTTCACCGAGATTAGGTGAAACTGTGTGAATCCTCCCAATAGAAAACCCTTTCTTTCTTGGCTCCCAACAACGATCTTCTTGTTTCCATACAAATTTTGTAGGAAACTCAACATAAGAAAGTTTCGTGCATCCTCATTATGTTCATTACAGCTCATCCAAGATAAGAACATCGAAGAAGAAACAAATTGTTTCTTGAGGACATCTTCAATATCATCATCTGCTCCGTATACAACATTTTGTTTTCCAGGAAGATGGAACGGAAGCCTTACAACTGAAGGATATCTGTAATGAACATCAAATCCATATATACGCCACGAAGCTTCACACGCAGACAAATACCTACAATCATAGTAGTTCTTTATTTCATCAACCGGAGCATCATCATTATCACCTCCGTTGTTGTTTTGTGCAACTTCAACAGTAGCCCGATCAGGACCCTTGTTAATATATTTAAACAAATATTTGATGGAAGCCGCTTGATTGCACCACTCAACATTAATATGAGCTTGATATCGTTTCAAAAGGGTTTTGTGATATGGAACAACACTTCTGTTGTCTAACTTAACACCTGACTTTTCTATAAAAGATCCATCATTACGTCTCCTATACATAGGATAACCATTTGAATCAACGGAAGTATTCTCCAAGAATGGCTTCGGGAAGTTTTTCGAACACTTGTTTTCACTCATGCATGGGCATTTTGGATTATCAGAACCACATGGACCATGCATCATGAACTCACTGACAAGTGAGTACAATTCTGGATCATCATCTTTGTTTGGAATTTCTGCCGAAATAACTCGATCAATATGTTCAACAGTAGGGAGTTTGTAATCAGGGTGCATGAATAAACATATATGTGCGTGAGGCAGACCGCGCTTTTGAAACTCCACCGTATAAACAACTGTATATTTAAATAAATATAATATTATAAGATAATAAAAAACATAAAAAAACATTTTAATAACACTATTATTGTAATATATGGTACCTGCTTTGACCAAACCCAATAACCTCTTCTTCTTTAAGTCTTTAATCAAAGAATCCAACTTAATTTTGAATAATCTAGAAAGGATATCAGGCCTATCTTCGGGATTAAGTGTGGTGTCAGCTAGAAACCTTTTAATTTCAGGCCATTTTGGATTGCATGTTACGGTTATGAAAAAATCTGGGTATCCAAAAAACTTACAAAGCGACATGGCATCTAAATAGTTTTGCATCATGTAGCGTGCACCACCCGTAAAAGAAG